TTTTCTAGTAAAAAGAACGAGAAACGAAAGATTTATTGAAATATTTTGTATTGTTCATAAATTTGTACGACTCTCAAATATAGTAATATGGTCCAGTTTATAAATATTACATAGAAATTTATATTTTTCAATTTTCTAAGTAAAATATTATATTTTAATGTTTATAAATAGAATATTATAATATTAGACAATAGAATATTATATTATAATGTCTATAAATAAAATATTATAATATTAGATAATATAATATTATATTCCAATGTCTATAAATACTATAACAATATTTTTCTGAAACTCTATCGTTATGTTCCTGAAGATTTACCTAATAATACATTTATTTTCTCTATTTTGTTCCTTTTGAATTAATAATGTATTTATTTTCGCTATTTTACCTCTTTTTAATTAATAGAATATTTACTATATGCATTTTGTTTCTTTTCAATTAATAATATATTTATGTTCTTTATACCAGTCATTTCTTCCTAACTTTTGTGAAAATAATTTTTAATAAAATGTAACAAAAGGAAAGTGAAAATTATATTAACAACATTAATAGTTCCTAACAATAAAACAAAATTTATTTGGGTAGTTAAAATATCTTGAGATAAAGAAATGAATAATATTCCATAATATTCCTTTAAATATCGAATTACGAAAGGATATTGATACAGAATTTTCTGCACAAATTCATCTAATATAACTGGTATTTCTTCTTCAAGCTAACCAGAGATATCTATGCAAGAACCTGTATTATTCTAGTAGAGAATTTATACCTCATTCTTGTTTTTAGGATATCCTATATCGTATTTCTAATTTGTATTTAATTTCAATTCCGGCAGCAATAATGTTTTGCTCTTATTCTCTAGCAAATTGTTAAGATTAAAGGTAACATGGAAATGGTAATAAAGCTACGAGAAGAAAAGAATGCATTAATTAATTCTCTTTAGTTTGTTATTATAGAAGAATTATACATAATATTTCGACGTAATATTTTATTTTCACAAAAATCATTTACATTTTAATGCATTGCTATATTTATGCTAAAGTATCAATTTTAAATTGTAATATTTCAAATATTGTAGTAATGTTGGGATATTAAATATCAATATTTTAATATTTTTAATAATTTAATTATATTAAATGAATTTAAATATGTATTAAATAAATTTAATATTAAAAATATCAAATATTAATGTTTCAAAAATATTATAATTATATTAAAATATCTAATATCGATATTTTAGGAAAACATGAACAACACTTTATATTACACTTGTCGTAATTAAGATCAAATTAGGTACAATAAATTATTATTTATTAAATTTTTACTTCATGTTTTGAAGAATTTTTGAT